TCGCAAGTCCAGGAGTTTGCCGGAAGTCCGTCGAAGCAACGCCGAACGTTCGCCAGATGTTCGCCAGAAGTTCGCTGGAAGCTCGCCGGAAGAAGTGATTGACGCACCAGAGCAAGTTGTAGTAAATGTCTTAAGAAATATCGTAGTTAGCATGTAGATTAAGTTAGGAATGGGAGGTGATCCCATTAACTTAATCTGGAGACAATTGGGCCCTTGATAGACCCAAATTGGGCCGAATGAATCAACCTATTCAGACCAGAATTCCTACTAGGCGGTGGCACCGCCCAGGAGATGGTCTCCCAGGAAAGCTGGGCGATGCAACCGCCCCAGTCAGGCGGTGGCACCGCTTGGGCTCAGTCTCCGAGCGAGACTAGGCGGTGCAACCGCCCCAAGCAAGCGGTGGCACCACTTGGGCTTAGTCTCCGAGCGAGACTAGGCGATGCAACCGCCCCTGACAGGCGGTGGAATCGTCTGAGCTCGGTCTCCGAGCTTTGCTAGGTGGTGCAACCGCCCTTGTCAAGCGGTGGCACCACCCAAAGGCTCAGTCTCCGAGCTGCCAAGCGGTTGTACCGCCCCAGTCAGGAGATGGAACCGCCAGGACTCAGGAAATCCGAGAAAAGACATTTTTGAGCTCCAAATTCAAACTAGTTTGGGGCCTATATATACCCCACCCTTTCCTGCATGAAAGAGCACCGAAAGCTTGATCTTACTTTGTGATTTTAGAGCTCAAAAATATTGTAAAGTCTAGAAGTTCTCCTCCCTCTTTTCTTTCAAGTTTTGATCTTTCAAGAGAGGAGAGAAAAGTTTGTAAGGGTTGTCTCCTAAGCCAGTCAAAAGGAGTGAAACTGTAAAAGGGTGGTTGGCCTTCACCTATTGAAGGAAGGCCTCTAGTGGACGTCGGTGACCTCGTTGGTGGGGGAAGCCAAAAGTGGATGTAGGTCAAGATTGACCGAACCACTCTAAATCTCGGTTTGCATTTACTTTGAGCATCTTATCTTTACTACAAACCTCCTCAGTAGCTTACTGCCTTCTGCTCATTTACGAATGTGTTTCTTAGTTAAGTATTTTTCGAATCGGTGTTAAGACGAAAATCGGTTTTATCGTATGAACATCATATTTCAGTTTGCGCTTACATTTTGATTTCTATCTTAACTGCAAACTGTCTTCCTTACTTTACTTCAAATACATTTCCGTAAGCTTTCAAAGTTATTATATGCACGAAACGACTTTACGTTGGAATCGGATTTCAACATATGAACGTAGTTTTAATCATCGAAAGTTTTCCGCTGCATTAATTCAACCCCCCCCTTCCCTTCTTAGTGCTCTTGATCCTAACACATTTTAGCTCATATCTTTTTGTATTCCTACTTTCAACATGTTGTTGTTTTGCTTCTTTTTTTTTTTTTTTTGCCTGAATTGGTTAAATGATATTCCTTTTTTGTATTTTTCAATACTAATGAGTACTTGTTTAAACATGATCAATATTATGAAATTAGAGAATTGGGACAATTTTGTGTTAGGATTGGTATGACATTAATAGAGGGTGAAATAGTATTATTTGGCCCTTGATTTATGATATATGCATCGAAGCATAAAATATTCTCAACAAGAGCTTTTACAAGAAACTTCTAATTGGTTGGCATAAGTTTTATTAGCCATTATAGCTCTTGTGAATTCTATTTTTTGAGTTCAAGAATTAGTCCTCTTGTGCTTAAATTTGTTACAAGAACAATTCATGTAAGCAATACGATAATTGATACATTCAGATTGTTGGATACTTTTTTTTCTACGAGTATGAGAAATAATGGCTTCAAGAGACCAACAGATTGGAGCTTCTCCATTAAGCATGGTGATAGAATTGGCAACATATTTAACCCAAAGTTTATGTCATTTTTGATGTCCAGTAGTCGTGCGTGCCTCTACAAGAACTAATCCTTTTCGTTGTACAAAAGATGTTAGCTAAACAAGGAGCAAATCCAGATAGGAGCTATCCGGCCTTTCGAAGACATAACCTAAGTACTTACAATTAGTAGAGGATTCATAAGAATCACTATATTGGAAGTATGAAGTCAAAATTAGTGAATGTACTTCTCTAGTCAATCCAAAAACCAGACAGTATTAGCAATCCAAATCCAGCATGTATGTTGTTTACCGAGATGGGCTCCTTCTAAGAGTCGGTCACATTTATTCTAGGAATTAAGATATAGTTCAAATAGCAACCTATATTAGAGTTAAAGCGCTGCCAAGTAGAGGAAGCAAAAGAACACTTAAAAAATAAGATGTAAGAAGTAAAGTTAGAACAGTAGTGACATACATAATAATGACCGGTCTGACTATGCCAAAGAAATAAATTATGTCTGTGTTTGGTGGAACAGAGTGGTGCCAGAATGATTATCTTCTTCCGACCAAACTAGTGTTCATCCCAACCATTTGGAGAAAGGAGTTGCCCCAAGCCAATGTTCATCCCAAAGCCTTCTAAAGCCTAGTACTAGTATCGATCCCAATGATTTTACATCTCTTTCACTGCTTTGCTTTTGCAAAGTCTAAATATTTCTTTCGGGCCAAGAAGATTTGACATGCTTGTTTTGATTCCAGAGTGGTACATTTTCATATTTAGACTTGTGAATTTTAACACGTAATGTATGCTTTTCCTAAAAAAATACTTACATTTTGGGTATTTTGTCTTTTCTCAAATAGTATTCTTTATTTAAAAAATATTCAAATTATTCCTCAAAACCTTTTTCATATGTTATTATAGTATTTTGATCACCACAATAATAATTAAAAAAAACTGTAAAGCCTATTTGAAAACACCATAAGTGATTTAAATAGACTTATAATCTCAATCAAACTAATTATAAGTCTAAAAATATACTATTATCATAATGATATATGAGCAATGACGATCAATGAGATGCTATTTATAGTGTTTTTCAGTAAAATTTATAGTATTTTTAACACATCAATAATAAATACACTATAAACCCTATTAAAAAACATTGTAAACAAGACAAATAAGGTTAAAAACTGATAAAAGAAATAAGTAAAAAACTTTGATGAGAAAATTTTAATTTTTAATTAAAAATATTGTTTGAAAAAATAAAAGAGGAGATACTTTTGAAAAATACTCAAAATATAAATATTTTCTAGAAAAATCACCCTTACCGTTATTTAGGAGAAAAGATTCTTTTGATATATATAGTTTTTCTGGTTAGATCGAGGTCCCAAAGGCCCAAGTGCTTAGATTTAGCGATTAGCTCTCAACTAATAAGATCTATTTTATTTTTTATTGGGGTCATCATTCTATTAAAAAAAATTAGAATTTTTTAAACAAGTAATAAATGAATTAAAACATGTAATAAATATTTTATACGAGTAAATTATTCATTCTTATATGGAAATTTATGAGATCATAGTGTTATTATTACTGTCTGTCTTTCCACTGAACTGAGGCATTACAATTTGTATCTGTTGTGTCTGATCGTACCAATTACACTAGTTTATTAAATATCAGTTTATATCTTAGTGTCCTATGATGATGAATGTACAAGCAGATTTTTATTTCTTTTTCCCGGACGATTAGAAAAGGCAAGGAACCTTCTTATAGCGATGGGCATATGATTCAATTATTGGTATCGTATCTTTTCTCATGATTTAACAGGAAGCAATTATTGTGCCCTTTTATAGCCACCCCTATTCATCATTAAGCAGACAAAAAAAAAAACACTAAAAATTCTCATGCTGTTGGACTTTGTTCTCGGACTTCAATTTCTCACGCCTACTAAACATGTGCCACATCTATTGTCTCTAAAATAATTCTCCTAAACGTGTCAAATCTCTTCCCAGTTGTCACTTTCTTGCAAGTTGGTCTTCCGACCTATATTCTTTTTGCAAGTTGGTCTTCCGACATATCACTTCTATAATCTTCTTTCTCGGCTTATAGTTTTATTTTCTTTGCTCTTGCTTGCTTCTATCATGAGGCCCATCGATGATGCTCCTCTTTATCTTTTCCCACTTATTGCCCTTGTTATAACATCCTCACAATGTTGAGAGCAAAGCCCTTTGTGCACACTTCCCTATTCATCACACCTGTCGCCTCCGCCTGTTTGTGCTACTCCCAACGTTGCGAGGGTGGAGGCGACGGGCATGACAAGTGGGGAAGGGCATCGTTAATGAGACCTCGAGATCGAACCGAGAGGTGGAGATATTGATTTCCTGATAATTTAAAATTGTGCACAAACCGGTCACAATATGCTGACTTAGAAAGCACAAAGTGTGATCCCAAAAGTTGAAAAATACTAATGTGTGAGATAGTATCTGATATGATATATATTAATCCTGATCATATTATAAAATTTATGACAAAAATCCAGATTTAAAGAGTGAAGTTTCCTTTTGCAAGGGGAATTACTGTTGCCTTATTTGCCTCCTGTTCAAATGCAGACAATATTTGGCTCCTTTCAAAAGAATATGGGTTATGTGATGAAAGCTTTAAAAGCTATTGTTACCTGAGATTTAATTAATGAAAGTAAGTATATGTCAAAGAAAATTCAACATCAACCTGAGGAGATCCTTCTCGTTTATGAAGATTCATGTCTTTGAATAATAATTTAAAATGAAAAATATTTATTTTTCATTAACAGATTAAAAACAAGATTCAGCATTAAATTACCAAATCATATGGGACTTGAAATGAAGCCTTGAAATTTATTTATTTTTTAAGTCATCCAATCATGTGGGTAGACGGTAAGTAGACTCCTTCCCACTGCATCTGTATTTCTTTTTAGTTCGTTAGTCCATTCGGTGGTATTAACTAACTATTATTTCGAGCTCTATTGTTTATATTAAATGCAATTCAGGGAGGCTAATAAATACATAAATTGGATTGTCAAATTTTTTAGACTTGTCCAAGTAAAATATTTTATTTGGAGTGGTGTGTATTATTCGTCTTCTCAATTTTTTGAATTAATAGAAAGTTTTATTTTTATTTTTATTTATTTTTGAGAAGGGACGTGACGCGGGCCAATCATCCCCACGCCTTCAGAGGACAAAAATAAAGAAGCGGATGAGGGCAAGAAAAATGTTGCACACCATGGAGGCCGGAGACAACACATTCGACGACCCCGGCGCCGCCGCCGACGGCCTGGGCCCCGTCCCCGCGGACAAACGCAACCTCTCCTGGTGGGACGTGGCCGGCCTCTGGGTCGTCATGGTGGTGAATGTCCCGTCCTACTTCGCCGCCGCCAGTCTGATGGAGCTGGGCATGTCGTGTTGGCAGGGCATTGCCACCATCTTCCTTGGCAACCTCATCATCTACGCTCCCATCTGCCTCACTGCCCACGCCGGTGTCCGGTACGGCATCTCCTTCCCCGTTCAGCTCCGCGCAGCCTTCGGCATCCGCGGCGCCCGCATCCCCGCCCTCCTCCGCGCCGTCGTCGCCTGCGGCTGGTGCGGCACCGAATCCTGGATCGGCGGCCAGGCCATCTTCCTCCTCCTCCTACCCCGGCCCATCCAGTCCTCGTCCTACTCGCAGCCCTTGGGATGGCTGGGCACGTCGCCCCTCGAGCTAGGCTGCTTCCTGCTCTTCTCGCTCCTCCAGTTCGCCATGCTGTGGAAGGGCATGGCAGGGATCCACGCCCTCGGAAAGTACTCCGCCCCCGTCCTCGTCCTCCTCGTCGCCTGCCTCTTTGCCTGGGCCTACGCCACCGCAGGCGGCTTCGGTGAGATGCTCTCCACGCCCTCGCGCCTCTCGCCGTTGCAGTTCTGGCCCGTGTTTTACCCCTCCCTCACTGGGTGCGTCGGCAGCTGGTCCGCCGTCGCGCTCAACATCTCCGATTTCGCCCGGTTCGCCCGGAGCCAAGCGGACCAGGCGCTAGGCCACCTGGCGCTCCCCCTTTTTATGGCCGCCTATACCTTCGCCGGCCTCGCCATCACCTCCGCCACGGAGGTCATCTTCGGCCAGGCGATCCCCAACCCCATCGAACTTCTCTCCTTGATCAACACCAGCGTCTTCATCTCGATCCTTGCGTTCTTGGGGATCGGCCTGGCCACCATCACCACCAACATCCCGGCCAACCTCGTCGCCCCGGCCAACGTGCTCGTCAGCCTCAGCCCCTCCACCTTCAACTTCGCCACCGGCTCCCTACTGACAGGATTCATCAGCCTAGTGTTCCAGCCATGGAAACTTATGGCATCCGGCAAGAGCTTCGTCTACGAATGGCTGGTCGGCTACTCGGCCATCATTGGCCCCATCACCGGAATCCTGCTCACCGACTACTACGTCCTCCGACGGGCGGTGCTCGACGTGGCCGGACTCTACGCCGAAAGCCCCCATGGACCATACTACTACACCGGGGGATACAACGTCGCGGCCTTCGTCGCGTTGGTCTTCGGAGTAGCGCCGGCGATCCCCGGGTTCCTCCACAAGGTCGGCGCCGTGAAGATGACCTGGGGAGGGTTCGATGTCATCTACGGATGCGCTTGGTTCTTCGGCGTCTTCTCTGCGTCACTGGTCTATTGGCTCCTCTCCTGCGGAAGAGCGAGACGCAAAGCTGGGGAAGCGTGGACCGGCGGATCCATGGCGGAGCCGCTCCGACTGACTGCACATCCCGATTTAGTTGATGATTAAAATGATTTGATTTGGTCCAATTGTTCTGCCTCAGTTACCAAGCAAATTGATGGGTTTAGTTCCATCTTATACATCAAACCAAAACATTATTAATAGATTATTCAATCGTGTTTGCGATATCAATAGACGAGATATTGTTAGCTTAGTTGACTCTGGCATGCACGACTTGGATGGAGGTCGTGACTGATCATCGTAGAGTAAGTCATCATACTTATCACAACCGCCAGAATAAGATCACAAATATTATAGTTTGATTCTACCTTTCCATAATAAAACAATATTCAACCTTGGAATTTTAGCCATTGAAGTAGCAATCTTGTGACCTGATCATCATCACTGTGATTATTATACTACTCACGTATTACAAAGGTAGTATGTAAAGAATACTGGGGGAAATCTTGAAAAAAAATTTTAGTTTTAAAAATTTTTGATAGAACGTCGTCCCAAAGTTCAAAAATTTCAACAGAGAGTCTCGGTTTTCTAAAATGACAAAAGTAAACGTGTAGAAACATTTTGTCTCTTCCCGTGTATCTTCCCTCTCCATCTTTTTAAGAAACCAAATTCAATCAATTTAAAACTTTGTTAGGTTTAAAAATATATTATATTAAATAATTTACTAATATACATCAATTTCTATTATTAAAATAATAATTTGATGTATAAAATACATTGAATTATTCACAAATG